TATCAAGTTTGCGTTCAACGAGAGCTTGAAAATTGTGAAAAACTTGGAACAAATCAGCACGTTTCTTAAGGAGATATATCCATGTATACTTGCTGTAATCATCAATGAAGCTTACATAGTAAGAGTGTCTACCAACAGAGGTGGGGGCAGGACCCCACACATCAGAAAAAATAAGTTGTAAAGGCTTAGTGGAAACACTAGTAGACACAGGATATGGCAATTGATGACTTTTTGCTTGTTGACATGAATCACAAATGGTTTCTAAGTTTCTCTCACCAACAACCGGGAGTTTATTTCTACTAAGGATCTGATGAACAGTAGAAAAAGAAGGATGACCTAAGCGATTGTGCCACCTTTCAGCAGAAAGCTTGATGGCACCATACACTTGTTTATTGTTCTGGCAATACTTGGGAAGCAAAGCATAGAGGCCTTCAACACAGACACCCCTATGGAGAACTTTCTTCGTGACCTGATCCTTGATCAAAAAGAAGAATGGGTGAAACTCTAGAAACACATTATTGTCAAGAGCAATACGATGAACAGATAGCAGAGTTTTGGAAGCATTAGGAACATACAAGATGTCATTGATTTCAAGGTTTTTGTGTGGGGTTTTGATAAAGGATTGACCAACATGACTTATTTCCATACCTGCACCGTTTGCTGCAGTGTAGACTTGATCATGGCCACGATATTTCTCATGCATAGTCAGCCTGTCCAACTCGCCTGTGATGTGATTGGTGGCACCCGTGTCCATGTACCAGTTGGTGTCTACGCCATAAGACACGTCGGCTGCAGCTGCAACTTTCTTTTTCTAGGAATTTTTGTCATCGGCGTAACGCCAATCATAGTCTTTTACAATATGGTTTTTTTTTTTTTTGCATATTTGACATTTGTTTTCATACCCTTCATACCCTTGAAAGGGGCGCCGATTGTTGTTGTTGTTTCGCCGGTTGTAGCCGCCACCACCAGAAGGGTTCTGGTTCTGAGGAAAGTGGCCACCGCCACCACCAGAGCCCCCCTGATGACCCCCACCGTTCTGGTGGTAGCCATAGCCGCCACCAGGATTAGGGTTAGGGTAGCCGCCGTTTCCGCCCGCCATGTGGTAGCCTCCAGGAGCGCCACCGCCGGAGCCACCAGCAGTAGCGTTGTAGCCGCCGCCGCCGTTGTAGCCGCCGCCGCCGCCGCGAGAGCCACCACCCCCGCCTTTGCGGTAGCCGCCGTTTCCACCACCAGAACGGCCCCGCGAGGCGATGTTGGCAGAGGACTTGAAGCCGCCCTTGCCAGCACCATGGAACATCTCCATGCGCTGGTCGAAGTTTGCCACGAGGGAGAAGAGGCCATCAACCGTGATGGGCTCGGTGCGGACGTCGAGAGCGGAGATGATGGGTTGATAGTCCATGTCAAGCCCTGCGATGATGAAAGAGATGAGTTCCCCTTCTCCAAGGGGTTTGCCCGCCGCGGTGAGCTCGTCGGAGAGAGCGCATCTGGCCAGAGTAGGCACAGGCGGACATGGAGCCCTTCTGAGCATTGGTGAGTGCGGCGCGAAGATTGTTGGCACGAGACAGCGAAACAGCGGAGAACATGGTGGCCAAGGCAGTCCATATGGCGTGGGAGGACTCAAGCGAGGCGACCTGGATGAGAACTTCCTTGGACAGGTTGCGCAGAAGATACGCAACGATCTATTGATCCTGGACGAGCCAGGGGGTATGGGCAGGGTTGGGAGTGACCTGATCTTTGCCGTCTTTGTCTTTGGTGGTAAGGGTTTTGGGAGGCTCGACGGTGGTGCCGTCGATGTAGCCATAGAGGCCAGCGCTCAGTATCTGGGATCGGGCTTGAGCTTTCCAGAGAACGTAGTTCGTCCGGGTAAGTGGTTCAGAGGTGTTGTAATTGAGGGTGGAGGAGACGGCAGCGCTTGAGGAAGACATGGTGGAGGGGATGGGTGGCGGCGAGAGGAGATGCGTGGGTTGGGGACGAAGAAGATGGATGGGTGTCGAGAGGTGGGAGGCATGCAATTGGAAGAGCCTGCTCTGTATACCATGTGGAGAATGATAGAAGCGTCTCAATCTCCATACAGGAGACCCGCGTGATATATATTGATAGCATGGTCGATACAACGTGCGGTAGCTCGAGGCTTAACCGATCAGAGGAGATTACAGGGAGGTTTAGAGAGATAAGGAGATAAGAAGATAAATGAGATCTCTAACCTAACCTCCTAACAATATCTCCAATGCACATACGTGACATGTCTAACACACATTACAGTTGTTGTAGAACAAATTAATATGCATGTACTCACTTTTAAGAGACTCTCCTCTACTCCGTAATATCTGCATTATGTGTACAAATAATTCATTCCATTTCAGCTTCAAGAGCCTCAATGGCTATGGAAGCGAATTTTATTTAAAGTTCTATCTATGTTCTAATCATGCCATTTTATTTCTTAACGTGATGCGATACATTATCACCGTTGATGTATGTTTTTTGCTGGAGCAACTGCAGTTAACGAAGGCGACAACAGTCCAAGCTACTGGGGTCGCCTCAAACCTGGTGGAAGCCATCCAGGGAGTTGGTTTCAAGCTGCAAACTCTGAGCCTCAGCTTCGAGGACTTTGACAAGGAGGATGCTGCTGCTGTTTCGGGAGAAGGAGCAGACGTCCAAGCCAGCGAGTGAGCTTCACAGCGTCGTGCCTGCGCTGAGTGCACACGATGTGCTCTGGTCGTTGGGGTTCAATATTTCTTCGGACGTTTTTCTTTAGTTGTCATACACTCGCTCTTAGCAATTTTTCAAGCTGCACGTTTTACCTTCTGGCATGACTACGTACCCTATGTGGGCTTTTAGAAATGCTGCATCTTCCCATTAAAAATAGAGAAGAAAAAGAAATTCTGCGTCTTGGGAGTTTCCCGTTTCCTTCGCATCGGTGTGTGTTCTTGGCCCGTTCTATGTTCTATCTTCCGTAGGGGGACAAACCGTCTGGTCGGCCATACTATGCGCTGGTTGACCACGCTGCGTCAGCAAACTCACTCAATACGCTTCCCCAGAAAAGAAGAGGATGCCACCCTGGTCCGGTCTTGTACAAACCCAATAAATATCACCGCTTGTGAATTCTACTCTATCCTTGAGTTAGTCTAGTTCTGCATTTTTTTGTGATGATTAGGTATGTAAATGAAACCTTGAGGGTATCCTCCGATCCTTTTTAATTCAACTAAATGAACAAGGGTCGCGCTAACTGCCACACGTGTGGCAGGAAGGAAGACGCATCACATGTCTCTAATGTAAACAGATTGCCACGTCATCGCATGCATGCATACAGGAATTTTTTTGGATTTTCAGTTTTTAAAATGTTTTATCTCTTAAACGAAAAATCCGATTGAAAATCCGTTTTCATCATTAAATCCCTCTCGATGAGATCTTCGAAACTAGATCCCATGTTGATATGTTTTGATGAAATTTTTTTGGATTAAAAGTTGCCATGTCTATTGCATATGAATTGGCATGATGTTTATACTGAAGTTGCCATGATATGTTTCAGCTATTTTCTTCTACATTTAAAAGTAAATTTTGACATTTATAAAACGGGGTTAAGAAACTAGACTTGCCATGAACCATAAACTAAAATTGCCATGATACATGCACATAAAATTGCCATGATACATGCACATAAAATTGCCATGATTCATACAAAAAATAATTTTCATGGTCAAAGTACTGGAGTTGCCATCATCAAAATACTAAAATTACCATGATCTACAAACTAAAATTGCCACATGGCAACTTTAGTTTAAGCTGGCAACTGCAGTGTAAACATCGTGGCAACTTCTGGCAAAAAAATCGTCGAAACATATCAACATGGAGTTTAGTTTTGAAGATCTCGTCGAGACGGATTTAATGGTGAAAACGGATTTGTAGTTCGCTTTTTTTATTTAGAAGATACAACATTTTTAAGCCGAAAACCAAAAAAATTTCTGCTGATGTCATCTATTCATACGTGGAAAAATGAGTGGTGATGGAGTCGTGTGGGCGATGTGCAAACGCCCACGTGTGGGCGTTAACATTTCCGATGAACAAAGATATTACTCCCTCCGGTCCATATTAAGTGCATCTCCAATAGATGATGTATTTTACATCGTCAAATTATGGTTGACGTAAAATATACATCATCAAAAAGTGGTTATTTTTATTATTAAAAAAGTGTCGTGCTATTTTACATCATCTATTAGGGGATGCTCTAACCGATGATGATTTAGTACAACTACACATCAAACACTCTTTGAGATTCACACACATTTCTAACGGGTCGAAATCTGACGTACCACGAATCAGTCGATTAGAACCGCTAGGAGCGGTTTTAGAGAGGTTCCCTTAAAGCATCAACCGGAGTGGGCGAATTTGACTCCAGGAGCCGGTCATCCCTTATATATCCGCCCCTGCAATTACAACCCCCCCTCCCCCTCCATTTTCAAAAACCTCGAATACATGCAAACACACACACGTCGACCATTGAATGATGCAAATACATATAACAGTGAATATAACACACAAATAAAACTTATTTCCAATGTGGATCCACATATGCTCCACAAGATCATTGAGTAGTTGCATGTGCATTTGTGTATCTTGAAATTATCGATACATCTCTAGAAAGTTCACAACATGCTTTACATCTTGTTCTAGGAGGCAGGTATGTACTTCGCCTTCAAAATCTTGCGTGCGGGTTGCCCCTTTCCCCCTCATCCTCCACAATCATGATGTGCAAGATCACAGAATAGGTCATCACCTGACACAATGTCTCCAGATACCACATCACTGCACGTCCACGAACAATACCCCAACAAGCTTGGAGCGCTTCAAATGGCCTCTCTGCATCCTTCCTCCCAACTTTTGTTACCTTGGGAATTTGGTATTGTCTTCACAAGCGTCGCCCACTGAGGATAGAAACTATTAGCAAGGTGGTACTCCATGTTATAGTCATGCACGTTGATGGTGTAGTTGCACAACAGCGTATCCCCAACACAAGGTCTCTTGAGCAGTGGAGATCCCTGAAGCACATTGATGTCGTTCTGAGAACCTAGCATGCCAAAGAAAGCATGAAAAAGTCACAAGTCCTTTGACGCCACTACTTCAAGTATGACAGTGACCTCTTTGGTGTGACCTTGGTAATACCCGCGCGAATTGGTCTGACAATTTTTCCATCGCCAGTACATACAATAGACTGAACTAAGCATACCTGAAAAACCTCTTGCTACTCCAAATGCTAATAACGTTTATGTGTCCTTGACATGTTCTCTTAAGTACTACGGTCCAAATACCTTCACCATGGCATAGGTAAATTGCTCCAGGACCTCAATGCATGTGCTCTTCACAGTCAGACATACTTATCAACAACATTTGTGGCTTTACCTTATGCAATATGCTGATAGCAGCCTTGCATTTATGCGAATGAGAGAATGACAGTTGTCCGCAACAATCCTTCTCGGTTTGAAGAATGATCATATGCCTTCACCCCAGTCACTATGTGCAAGAATAAATGAGTGCTCATGTCAAAGCGATGCCAAAAAACCCTCATAAAATACCGGGTTGGGTTTGAAGTAGTTGTTGTAAAGACTCTGTGCGCCACTTATCATATCCCTAGAAACAATTGTCCCGCTCTTTTGTCGAACCCTTGAAGTTGCAAGCATGTTCCTCTTACTTCTCCATTTCTTCTTGGATGCATCATCATCATGTCAACATCTTCGTCGGCATCGATGTCTGAATGGAGCGAACCAATGAACCCTCTAAATATGTACTCGTCCAACACTTTGTAACCCAAATCATCATCCGACGAATCATCCACGTGCCTACAAATAAATAAAAGAATATCAAAAAGTAGCTTGGACCTTTCTTCAAACACATGGCAGGCGAAGTGTATATCAGGCGGAGTAGGGCATACTGGGGTGGCTACCATGTCTTGGGCGGGAATGGCGGCCGTGAGGGGTTTGGGGCCCGTGGTGGCGGCACAGCAGGATGGGGACAACGACGAATCTAGGGTTGGAATGACACTAGAGCTAGGCAAGGGGCAATGCAAACCAGGAAGAAAAGAGGAAGATGGCAGGCAGACGAGGGTTGGGGACAATTTAGAGAGATCTGGGGTGGATCTGACATCATGGATGTGTCCAGGCACATCTGTACGAGGCTAAATCCACCACACATATAAATTGGTTTTGAGAGGTGTCGAACAACCCGGGCATATGAACCATTGAGAGTCCAGCTGAGTGGCATTTTATGACGAAGACAATGTCCATGACCATCCACCCGAACATATGGCGTAGACTAGGGGGTCCGGTTGAAGATTCTCTCATCCCATTTTTTCCCGTGTAGAGAAGCACCGGCTCTAGCTAATGATCTCTCTATCGCCCATGTTTTGGTTGCTTCAAATTGCAAAGAGGTTGAGTGACATCAACAATGGTACTAGAATCATCATAGAGCTCATAGCTACAGCCGTACATTTTCAGTCCCGCACCTTCATCGAAGGTAGAAGTTCGAACATTGAGACACATAGCCTCGATAAATATGCTATTGGTCTTGTCGAAGGACGCCACCTGTGGCTTCTTCAACCTCCTGATCTAAATTGCATCTACATGAACAATATTATTTTCGGACATCGATATATGGCACCGATGTGCTTGATAGGAAAATTACTTAACGTACCTCTCCCCGCCAAGGAGGCCGATCGCCCTCCCGCCCACTAGGCTGAGCGTGATACCAGGCCAAACAGAAAAAAGCCTAACACCACCCAACCACCTCCACGATGCACTCCCGTTCATATTGTCGCACATCTACCCACACCCCTTTACCTTCCACGCAAGTATACTCTCACTAGTATGCGTCGGTGCTATACAAACGGTTTTTAACCCCTTTCCGTGACGGTGTTCGGAACCATCACCTAGTGAGTGACTGCGATAGGGGGGGGGGGGTCCTCCACATGACCCACAAACCGTCGGGGATATGCCCTCCTGGCACAGGCGCTCGGCAAAATGAGGTCGTGTGCGATCGACGAGCGACCAAATACGTTTATACGTACAGTAGTGCTAAAAATACAATTATATAGGCGAAATCGTTTCCGGTCATAAGTACATCCCACACAGGCAGTCCCCGCTAAACGTTTCCGTTTGTATATACATCCCACATAGTCACTCAAGGAAAACGTTTGCACAAGGTGGCATAACGCAAACAATTTTCAAGAGAATGTCATGTGTGATTGTTCATTGATCCAACACGGTTTATTCCTATAAACTGTGTGCGTTGCCTGAGGTCATTGACCACGGTGTTTTCTCAATAACCGTTTGCAATAGTAAAACCCAATTAGCAGGCTAATTGGCTAATTAGCAGGCTAATTGGCCAATTAGCAGGCTAATTGCCCTATTATTAATAATCCATTTATTAATCTAATTAACATTCATATTAAGCACATAATATATTTTATTTCTATATTAAGGAAGCAAGATTTCATAATTGAAATACATCCGAGTACAACATGATATAGCTTTAGCACTCAGCTACCCCATTACACAACTACACCGGCACCAAGTTTTACATGCAACATCTAGAACCTTTCGAAATTAGCTTCATAGATGGTAAATAGACAGATGCATCTCATCTGGAAACTGGAAGACAACTGGCGCATTAGATTCGGG